CCCTCCGCTGCTGCGGGTTTGCTCCCGATGCCCCTGGTCTGCTGGTGACGGTCCCCAGCAGACCAGGGGTACCGGGAGCAGCTTTTCTCGCCCCGGAGGTCGAGGTGGCTGACCGCTGCCTGTGAGCTCTGGGGCGAGAGAGCCCCGTTCCTAAGTGTGGATCCAACATAAGTCGGATCCGCGTAAGTCGGGGACTGCCTGTATTTAAATCCCTGCTTCATTAACTACTTCGGTTGTCTCCATTTGCATCCCTAGTCCAAACTAGGGATGCAGTGTAGACGTACCCTAAAAGACAATATCCTCCGCAAAGTAAATATTTTCCTACGTGTATCCTAAATAAATGCACATAATTTAATATTTAATTAAATATCCTGATACTTTTTAGTCTTGTCTTTGCACTCTAGTTATAACTAATTACTTACGATTAATTTGTAAAAACAATACAAAAAACGCAGCCTATACTTTTGATCATTTACCAATTCCAGGATCCAGAGTGCTAATTCATTCTCTCTCTGCCTCTCTCTCTTTCTCTCCCTGCATGTTATTTCTTTGTTGGTTTTATTTACAATCGTAATTTACAATCTTCTGTTTTGTAGTGTAACCATTTCCATGGCAACAGTGCATAGTATCTCACAGGTCAATGACCTCCTGATTTGGCTAAACTAATTTACAAATAGGGCTGAAATGGAAAGACACCTTATAGAGAGAAAGACTTTAAAAATTAATTGATATAATTATATAAAAACACAGAGAGGCATTTGTAGGCTGTTACATTTCCATTTTTTTCAATATCTACTAGGTTGTTGATCTAACTCAAATAACTTGAGAAAAGAACTATTGAATGATTGTACCCTGAAGTTTTACAGAATAAATAAGTCAATATTTTATTTTCCTGAATTTTTCAATTTTTTAAAATCAAGGAATATTTTCTGAAGGAAAGCAATTTTACATCTCACTGTTTAAAAAAAATAACTCCAAACTTTCTGACAGCTCTCTATAGATAATGTTGTTTGGGTTAAGCTTAATTTATTTTAAAAAAATCTGTCTGCTTTGCTACTGTCTCCTTTTCTCTCATTCCTCAGTTGCAAGAAGAGAGAAAATAGGCAGTGATACAACAGACTGATGGTAGGATCCAGAGGAAAAGAGAGTAGGTGCTGTAGTGGTGAAGTACAGTAGCATGTTCTGGGGTCGAGGGAACATAGGGGAGCAATTATGGCAGCTCAGTGAATCATTACTTTTTCCTGATGGCTGATATTTTATGCCTCAGAACTTTTGTTTTTATGGAGGAAAAAAAATCTAGTCCTTATGTCTGCTCAGGGACATAGCTGGAGACAATGAGATGTGGAAAGAAGAAAAATGAGGAGTAAATAAAATATAAAGATTAGAATAAAGTAGAAAAAGGGCACCATGTGTCAGAGAGAGAAGAGAACCAAGGATGGCAGAAGGCAAGAGAGAGATGCATGACACCAACAAACTGATATAATTGATCCCTCTGTAAAATGGCCAAAATCTTGAAGATTATTGCTTGTATAAAGTGGTAGATGTTCTGAAATTCACTTTGTCTTAACGATGTAGGAATTAGCATAATATTACTTATTTGCTTGTCAGTCCTACCAACCAGCCCTCTATGCCAAAGTCTAGAGTCACTGCTACTCCTGATAGACCTTTGTAATGTGCCCATTATTTAACTAGCCTGTTCCAAATGCAGTTAAACAATTTTAAATGAACAGATTGTTTCAATACAGATTATTTGGTGATGGTGCAAAATAAAAATAATAAACTAGTAATTTAAAAATCCAGAGTCAACTTGCTTCAAGCACAACAAGGTCTTTTGTCTGATTTTGGCATTAAACTCCTTCCACATTATTTACACACACAGTAAATTCTCCAAAGCGTTTATATGTAAGGCTTCGAATTTATCATTGAGGTCGCAGAATTAATGGATTCTGACTCCCAAAGACCTCCGTGACTTCAGTGGCTGGTAATTGCAGGGTCCCTCTGCTTCCCATGGCGGTAGGAAGATGTGGGGCACACCTATTGCCTGGGGCAATGGGTCTCCCAAGCTCTTGAGCCACGATGGGTAGTGTGAGTACCTTGCACCTCAGTCCTGTGGGAAGTTGAGGACCCCCTTAGCTTCTCACCACTGCAGGCAGAGTGAGACTGAAATAAATTGTCCTATCTCAGTTTATATAGTTGAACACATCTTATATGCAAGATTTCCTTTCTACCACACTTAGAAATGGTTCTGTCAAGTAATCTGTTCAGAGCTGAAATATTGTATGTAAAATGGCTGGCACACTTTTTGAGTTATAAATACCAAAATACAACTATCGTTATTTTAATTATGTATCTTAGGTATTTAAAACCTCATTTTTTCTTCAAGATCAGTTAAAAGATGAACCAGATTTAATTTATGATGAACCACTTTCAGCTTTCTATTTCCTCTCCTCTTCTGGTTTTTGGAACAACTTGGTGACTATTTGGTCCAAATAGGCATCATAAGGAATTTGCCTGACCATTCATAGTTTACTATTCCCTTATTTAATCATAGAACCATAGATCTGGAAGAAACCTCAGAGGGTCATCAAGTCCAGCCCCCTGCTTTATGCAGGACCAATCCCAACTAAATCAACCCAGCCAGGGCTTTGTCCTTCCTCTCTTCCCTCCCCCCCACACGCAATCAAGTGATAGCGAAGGTATTTGAAACAATATTTCCCTTCTCCTAAGGTTAGTTTATTCAACAGCATTCAGTCCCCTTTCTGCTTACCCCTCAGACTTAACATTTCACAGTCCTTTTTCTTGGAACTATGACTTTAAATCCTAGCCTCTACAGTCTATAACTTGCCCCTGAAGTTTAGGGGTTACACAGCTATCCTTCCTAAGACTATGGGTCGGTTAACTTCTTTTAAACAGATTGAGGCTTCTGCAGAGTCCTGGATTTGTCTTTCTTCCTTTGCACTCTTTCAAAGCAGAAACATTACAAACCAAAGTTATAACTGTTATAGTAGGAAGACTCCCAGGGGCCAGATTCATAATTAAAATCCAGTATTGGGGCAACACAAAGGTGTTACAGAATCTGTCTAGAAACAGAAAGTGAAAAAATCTAGCTGGAAGGGCACAGCTTTCAGGTGGTATGAAGCCAGGGAATTCAGCTTTTTCCCATCCACTTGTCCTACAGTATCCGTGACATGTTGGGGAAAAGGGAGGAGCAGAGCTTTGCTCTGGAGTATAGCTTCTCTCTTCTGTGGATTGAATGCAAAAAATTGCAGTACTAAATGGGATTTCTGCTTTATTGTCTAGGTTTTCAGCAAGAAGAACAACAAAAAGCTATTAGATTTGCCGCTGGTATCCAGGTGGTACCACAGAGTTCAGGAAGTGCCTGGAGTAAAGAACGCTGCTGCCAAATGCAATATGCAGTTTCTCCAGTTTCCAGATTTGTTGTTTTTCCCAGATGAGCAGCTGAGAGACGTCTATACAATTCCTGATGATTTAAGGGAAAAATGTGAAGACAGTCAGTTTATAGGTGGTCCAAGGCCAACCATGACAAAGTTAATGGTAATTATTATTTTAAATAATAATGAAGATGCTATTACAGCTGTGCCCGAATTTAGGAAAATGCAGCTCTCTAAGTAGACTAATTAGAAGTGCTTGAAAAACATGGAAGCCATAATCAGTTCACTAAGGGCTAAATGATAAAATTTGTGATTGGATGAAACCAGATGCTAAGATGATGTGCAGTGGTATTTGTACGTATATTATGAAAAAAAATTAGGTGGTTTTAGAACCAAAAATAAAATTCTGCTTTGGTATTTCATTTTAATATTATGCCTTTTGTGATTTTTTTCAGTTACTTGTTCAGAGCTGTGAGTATCTGGAGACCCAACTAACTTTTTGTTAATCCTGTGCCATTAATGTTGATAGGAACTTAGCTACTGACTTCAGTGAGCCGTAAGCATGAAACCTGTTTGAATCTGTTTTTGAGAGATCTATTTTTTTCTTACCCATAGGAAAGCGGTATTGAAGCAAAGTTTTCTCCTCATCCCTGCCCTAGGTGGACCCTAGACTGGAATAGTCTACCAGCAGCAGTCAATCCTGGAAAAGGTAGAGTCTTTCATTTTTTTTTCTTTTTCTTAAACCTGTTCCTATAAAAAAAATATACTACTAATAAAACTATGTATTGGTTTTGGCAGTGTGAATGGAAGTGTACAGTACTTTTCTTGAACATATATTGTATTTTTCCCTTTATGTCCAATGTTACGTTTTCTACTGTAGCTTTGTGTGGCATGCTAATTAGTATGGTAAGTATTAGGGATGTAAGAATGTAGCTGTTTAAACTGGTAACCAATAAGCTCATTCTTACCAGTTACCCAGACAGATACATAGCTACATGTGGCTCCTGCTGTATCAGAGGCAGCAGTGTGGGACAGCAGCTGGCTCCCTGGGAGCAGCGTGACAGGTAGGAGACAGTGCATGCTGGGAGCTGGCTTGAATGCCAGCTCCCAGCGTGCACTGGCTCCTAGGGAGCTGGCTGCCACCCCATATGTATCTGTGTAACTGCTGAAATTTTCAGTGGTTACATGGCTAATAAATTACATGCATTTTAATATCTCTAGTGAGTATTGTTAGGAATTGTAACTCCCCTAAATCATCAGCAGATTCTTGTCACTTGCAAAAAATATTCTTACAGTAACCAGACTTGGAAACTTTTATACCATTTTTCTCTTGTGTAGGTTTACAATAGCTTCTTCTGCTCCTCCAGCACATTAGGTAGCATTCTCTTACTTCATAGACTAGCTGGTAGGTTTTGTTGCATGTGTACAGTTCCGTACGCTACTCGGCCCTTTAATTCTTATTCTCATCAATAAATTCCTGAGAGCTTTACATTCTGAATTCTCCTGGGACTCTGAATGTCATATACCTCAGCATTATCTCAAAAAATGAAATCTTCTCAGAGCCTTGACAAATATGTTTGGAACCTCTTAAGGCTTCTAGTTACTCAGACTACAAATTCTTCAAGGCTTCATCGACTCTGTGCTCTTTACATTTTTTTCTGGTTTTTTTTTTTTTTTTTTTGGAAGCTAACGCCTCAGCTTGCTAGCTATAGTGTTGTTTCACAAATATCACTGCTGTCAATTTTCCTTTTCCTCCTGTGTGCCATGGAGGATTTTCCTCATATTTCTTTACCATTGCTTTAAAAATAAGAAAGTAAAAAATAAACTGCCAAGCTGGATCGGGAGTTTAGACAGAGATCTAATTCAGCCTCTTTTAAGGGATTAATCTTAATATTTCGTGATCAACAAACTCTTCCACATTCCCCCTCACTTCTGAGTTTTATCTTGAATTTTAGAAATCTTACTTGCCACATAAAATGGAATAATTTCCAGTTGCTTTAAATGCAAGCTAGAGACTAGATGCTGGAATAGATTTAAAAGGTTTATGTTCTCTGCTGTTCCTTGATATAATCCCAGAGGAAGTTGCCTGAACTCTATGCAGAAGGAAGAATCTGTCAGTTTAAAGTGTTCAGTGTGGTTTCAAGAACTTGCTGTACACCTTCACTAACTGTAGAGTTTTGGTGGCTGTGTAGCTATGGCAAGGTTTCAGTTTTGAGCAAGGCCAATAGAAAAGCCTATCAAATCTTCAAAAGGTTTTGAGCTTGCTCTCAATTACAAAAAACTGAGCTTGCTAGTATGTTGGTCTAGTGCAGGGATGGGCAATTTTTGCCTGGGGCCACCTCTGAAAGTGCGGGGCTACCCCACCCCCAGACCATAATTGATCTGGGGGTGGAGGAGCCCCTTCCCCCCACTTCCCACTAGGCACCCATGCCCTGGAAGAGGCTTGGCACGCTCCCCCACCCCCAGGCCAATCAGGGCCTGGGGGCAGGGGAGCACAGGAAGCCTCCTCCCACCCTGCGAGGAGCACGTGGTGCTTTGAAGTGCTGTGGGCTCCTGCAGGGTTCGGACAAGGTGAAGGAAGATGCACGCAGCTCCCCCGCCCCCAAGCCCTAGGGTGGGGGAATGCGTGAAGCCTCTTCTGCTCTCCCCCGCCTTGCAAGCAATGTGCGGCACTTCAAAGCACCACGTGCTCCCGGCAGGGCGGGAGGAGGCTTCGTGTGCTCTCCCGCCCCCAAGGCCAATTAAGGCCTGGGGGCGGGGGAGTGTGTGAAGCCTTCTCCACTCTGCCCCCACCCTGTGAGCAGCACACAGCGCTTTGAAGCGCTGCATGCTGCTCGCAGGGTGGGGGCAAAGTGGAGAAGGCTTCGGGCTCTCTCCCACCTCTAGGTCCTGATTAGCCTGGGGGCAGGGGACCAGCAGCGCCTCCTAGGGCTGGATCCACCCTCTTGGCAGGCCAAATCTGGCCCGTGGAAGCCCTTTTGCCCATCCCTTGTTTAGTGTTTGCTAGAAGGAAAGACTTGTGCTCTTTGGCAACTGGGCCTTTGAATTCAGAACAGGCACATAATTGTCATCCTATTTTTTCTGAGATGTATGACATCATGTCTCCAATTGTTAGATTGTTTAAGTACCTATTTTTTTTTGTCTAGATTGTTTAACCAGAAGGATACAATGTGTTTGCAGTAGTGCACTAAGACAATTTGTAATGTTAGTGGTCATGGTGAAATTTTGCAGGCATCTCTTATTCTATTATCTGTCTTCTAAGTCGTTATTCAGTTACCACAAGTTAAGCTGTTCTAATTGCAAGGACTTTTTGTGTGAATCTAGTTGGTTTACAGGTGATGTCATGGATGTTTACTGTATTAGCTGGTACAGGTAGTAGATTCTGTCTTTTCATGTAGGTTAGTAACCTCTGGAATTTTTTTTTTTTCACACCACCACTCTGATCACAATGATTGTTCTTGAGATTTCCAATTTACAGGCTGGTTTCCTTAGCAGACATTACCAGAACATCTGGATTCTGCATTAGGGTGCCATAAAACAGATGTTCGGACATGCCTATTCCAGATTTACAACTGCAAAATGAGGAAATATATGCACAGATAACGGGGAGTTCTCAGGGAAGGTATTCTAAAAATGTTGGCCTAAGGGCATATTAGAGCCTTAATGCCAGCATACTGCTTTTGTTTCTATGTGAGCTTTTTTAAACAGGTTTTTGGGATCATGATAATTTTGGCCCTTTCCTGATCAAGATTATTTCACCTCCCTATAGAGGCATTGAAACTAGAGGTACTGGGGATGCTGATGCACCTCCTGGCTTAAAATGGTTTTCAATATATGTAGGGTTTACAGTTTGGTTCATTGTTTCTCAGCATCCTCACTATCAGTTGTTCCAGCACCACTGCCTAATTAAAACCCTAATAGTCTGCTGCACATGGATACTATGTAGGCAGAAAGCACTCAGAAACAGGTCTCTGGCCCTAAAGGACTTTGTCCATTTCATGGGCAGTTTGTCTGCTATGAAGTACAACTTGTATAATAGAGTTTCTCTTAAGTACCACATCTATTGCCAAGTTTCATGAAGCTAGTGAAGAGTCACAATCTCTGCAAAAGTGGAAAAGGTTTGCTTTCTTTTTTGAAAAGCACAAACATCATCTTAGAGACTGGTTGAATGGCCAGCACACTGAAATAACAAATTCAATCAAGTATGTGTTGGGATCCACTTAAGACACACAGAAGCACAAACAAACACTCTCCTCTATAGATGGAAATAACATGTATTATTTTATGTAGCCATTTAGTTCAGAAATTGGTGGCCCCTGTGTTTGAGGTAGATACAGTCAAAGTCATGACAGCCTGTAGCTGTTTCATTAATAGATTTATGGTTTATAATTTAATATATCTGTTGTCCTAAGATTAATTATTTTGCTGGGAAGTTACGCAACTGCTTGCACTATTGTTGCTCAGTTTCTTTTAATATTTGAAGGACAAATAACCTTTAATATAAGATTTATCATTATTACACAATTATGGTTCAGACTCTTTGTCAGCTTCTGGATAGAGGCCTTGTATTAAAATAATTTTCTAGTTTAGCATAACAGGGACAAGTAAAAGCTATATTAAAAGATTCCAACATTTGTGGCAGTCAGATTGAATTTTTTGTTTGCATCCTGTCTTCGAACATTGGGCTGGCATTTTCCATTCACACTGTGTTTAGGTGGCTGATTTCTTCTTTTGGATAGGACAATGTTAGAAGAGGTGATTTATAAGGGCCATTATGTTTTTGGATTTTTGTGTGTGTAGATCCAGTTCTCGGGGGAGAGGAGAACGTCATCATTCATGGAGTATCCTGCCCACCCAGCTGAATGGAAGGGTTTTTTTTTCCTTTTATTATTTTGGAAAGCTGATATTTTTTCCTGCTGGCACACTTGCTGAAATAGTCACAATAATGGCATCTACACAATGGTTATGAATAGTTTATTCAATACTAGTTTGCAAAAAAAAAAAATTCTAGTTTTGCATCATCTTTGGAAATATTATTTAGAGAAAGCATAGCTAGCTCACCAAATATGCCAGCAGTGGTATGTTCCAGCTCTGCCTCCCTTCCCTCCAAATCAACCCTACCTTCTTTAGGTAGATTTGGTGAGGGATGCCATTTCTGTAGAGAACTGTGGAGCCATACTGAAAAAAAAAATATAGGTAAGAGAACTACTGTTGCTTTTCAATTAGATTTAGCTACTTATTCAGCTCTGCTATTCTGACTCTATGACTGTACTGTATGTCATCTGCCCTTTTACTGACAGTGACCAATTGGGGCTATATAAAGTCTCAGTGTTTTTTTATTAGGCCCTACCTGTCATGGTAGGAAAATAAAGTGACTGGATGTGACACGGTTTGAAACTGGATTTGAATAATGCATTTCCATTGTATTAAAGAGGCTTTTAAACAGATTGCTCCTGTAATTTGGTAAATAAAGTTACTTTTATTAACGTTCCTATAAATGGAAGCAAGTGTATCAGTTCAGACACAGGTTTTTATCTACAATTAACTGAATTTGCTGCCAAATATTTTCATTTAATAGTATGAATAATATACTTGGTACTAGCTTTAAACTATCTTAAATTAAACATTCATACTTTGTATTCTGTTGTGATGTACTAATGTTCAGAGCTTACTAATGTTCAGAGAATGTGTTCTTCACTACAGAAGTTT